TAATGAAATAAGTAACTTATGTTTAGAGATTGTCTATGTGCACATTTTAATACGCTTAGCTTTATATGGTTGACGTCCTCGACACCTCTTGCCATCTGTGTCGAGGACGTCAACAAATGCGATGGGAAAATGAGCTGAAACTTACCGCCGGACCCAAATGGAGAAGAGTTGTTCAAGATAGAAAACAATGGAGACTACTGGAGGAGGCCTTTGCCAGAAGGCACACTGAGTTGAGAGACATCTTATAAACAAACAAACCAAAAGATCCAATCACAAAGATAAATCTCACCCAGTTTAAAGGGCTAATTATTATTATTATTATTATATGGTAGTTTTCCAATTACAGCACAAGAGCGCATTATGCGGCATAATGCTTAACGTTAAATGTTCCAACTACACCAACGCTTCGCACAATCTAGCACTCTCAAAAGTACTGCTCTCGCGTGATACTCGCAATCGATATCGACTCAGTGACAGAAAATCGACAAGTGTTTTTTTCTTTAAGTTGGCATTGATCGAAATTTTATTTATATTATCGTTAGTAATATTATTTAATGTTGAAAAAAATTGTAAGGCTTTCGTTTCGTCGTAGTTTCTTAGAAATAATCAATATTAATTAAAAGTGTGCTAACTTAGCGCACTCTGCTGATGCATTTGAAAACTAATTCACGTTCCAATTAAGCTTCAGCATAATTAGGCATTGTGCGTCACTGAGTCGCATTATGCTCTGTAATTGGAAAACTACCTATGTATGTATGTTAGTATCTGTCTATGTAACGGAAACTTTGAAAATTATTTTGATCCCCCTCAAAACGTCGGATTAATTCAAAATTTGGCATACTTATCAAGAACCGATGACAATTTAAAATTTAAACAATTAGACTTTACTAGGATTATCATGAATATTCAGCGACATATCCATATTAAGATCTACTATTCCGATTTTGAATATCACAAAATAACAAATCACAGATTACAATTTTCCTGTGGTTTTTTAATTTTCTTTTTCTTGACATCTCGAAACTGAAAATATTAACAAATTTTATATCAATGTGACCTTAGTCCCATAGCTGTTTAAGCTAAATTAGAACAAAAAGCATTAATCTTTAAGTCCATTGATCACACTGTCAATCTAGATCAATAAATCTAAGATACGCGGTCGACCTAAAATCTAACGAACGCCTTGCTGATAAACGATTGAACACTAAAATATCTAATGGTTTATTTAGAAGTCTAGACTTACCACCATCCTATTGAAATTGCGTCAAATCTCTCAGAAGTCTGGTATCGCCAATTTTAGAAAATATTTAGAATACCTAAATATACCTACCTATTTACGACTATAAATTTAAAGTTATCAATTAAATAATTATTTTTTATTTTTTATCATGTATTACTAAACATAATGAAATATAACATTTTATTTATTTGCATTTTAATTGACTATGTTATAATTTTTTTTTTGCTTAGATAGTTGGACGAGCTTACAGCCCACCTGGTGTTAAGTGGTCACTGGAGCCTAGCACCTTGAGATATAAGTTCTAAGGTCAAAATCACTCATGCGTACAACAGGTACACCGCCTCACGGAGTACATTCTCGTAGGACTTAACTGGCCTAAGCCGTTATACACGAGAGCCCTTTTCTTTCGACGATTCATTCGCGGAACAGCTACTCTTGAGTTGTTAGGTCTCCTTTGGAGGCGCTTGGGTAGTCGTTAGCAAATCCCACCCCTCCTAGGGTCCGCCTTAGCTCGCCCACCTGCCCTGGTAAAACTGGAAAGGTCTCCGGGCCACCAGAAAAGAAGTCTAAAAATAGTAGATGTAAATTGCCGCCGTACACGCAGCGAACAGCTCCCTCCCCTCTCAATGTCGTCCCAGCACTATATCCACCCCTGCCCTGTGTGGCAGGGAGTTTCAGCCCGGGTAGTGGGGTTTGCCCCGAGGCCCGTTCCGTACGACGACCCCTCTTGAAGTTGACTTGCCACCAGAAAATTCTCAAACATAAAAAAAAAACGTATTATACCGAACTTGATTCAAGTCGTCTGAATTCGATACAGCCAGACATACTACATAATATTTATGAAAAAGTACTTCTACAGTACATCGGCTTTTATTTGCAGATCACGTGTGTACGAAATATTGTCACAAAACGAATATTACGTGTCCGACATCACACCTAAATGAATACGTCGCTCTCCCAACGATTGTCGAAAAAAAAAAACAATTCTATAAATAAAACTGCCAATCCATAGAGGAGTTTGTCCGTAGCAACCGTACTGTATGTAATGTGCTCTGATGAAATGTGATTTTCTCGGTATAGTGGAAGATTTCTTATTTTGCTATTTATCATTTTCTAGCCAAGGAGACGGTGGCAGTTAAATGAAAAAAAGATGTGTGCTGTCGTGGGACACCGGATAGGAACGAAGTTCCTTATTATAAAAATATTAATTTTAAGTTCTATTCTAGGTATAAAGAAAATAAAACGGAGGTTTCGCAACAACCCACGGTCATTCGGTAACGTGCGAACTTATTGTGGTACACATAATTCACGGTTGTTTGCATAAAAGTTAGTGTATTGCTCAAACGAACGCTCTGAGATCGTAGTCAATGAATGATAAAAATATGTTATTTTTTGTACGTTATTACAAAGTCAAGTCGTACACTGTGTGCATTACTAATAAAAATCTTACGTTACGGACGTTTTTTCGCGGTTAGGGTACCCCTCCGCATCGTCTCAAAAGGAACTTCGTTTAAAAAAAAAACTAGATATTCCTGTTAAATTGACTACCGGTTGTGGGGCGTATTGTGAGCCCGCACGGGTAGGACCTTTCTCAAACATAAAAAAAGGGTAGGTATCGCTGCCCTGTCTTTTGCTTCTGGTCTATGAACTTGTTTGCAAATATAGCCAGATAATTAATAGAACAGCCCGTATACCATACAATTGACTGAGTGATTGCTGATTTTCCTCTAAGAACACTCATTCATCATCATCAACATCAAACGCAAAAAAAAACTTCAACCCATCTGTCGTCTTGTGGGAGTTGTGGTAATAATACCTCAATACGTACATTTCCTTATACATAAATAACCTACCCGCGAGGCTTGGAGACTGGCATAGTTACATCGCTAAATTTGTCCTTTATTAAGCCACCAAAACTTCAAGTTTTATATTAAATATTTATTTATTTATTACACTTCATCTAAAATTTACATTGGCGGGTTTAATGCCTAAGGCATTCTCTGCCAGTCAACCAAAGGTAGTGCAGAGTGAATAGTGGTAGGTGCAATGAAATCTATATGTTAATACGTAAAGCAAAAACTTTGTATCCCTTTTTACGAAAATTGCGTGGACGAAGGAGTATGAAATTTTCCACACTTTTAGAGAATATAGAGAAGAAGTGCACAATGCTAATATTTTTTTAAAATAATGCATAAAAGATACATTAAATCAATAAAGAAAACATTACACACACTACATACCATGTATTTGACACACACACGCATGCATACTATTTATTGTCAAACTTTTGTTCTTGACGTCTGTTGTCAAATTGAGAATAGATTAAATATTGTTTGTCTTTATTAATATTTTTTATAGTTAATGGGAAATTTGGCCAAATTTGTGATAATAAAAGTATAAAATACAATCATAATAGTGTACAAACTTACAATTCCAATTAATTATAGTCAAATTTCGACTACTGCGGGACCTCTAGTTTATACTAAGTTACAAATACATACACAAAAAATATATATAATATATATACATATATACTCAATCACATAATATAATAGTTATAAATATAAAATATAATATAAATAATATAAAATATCAATTTTATTTCAATTTTCTTTTCTTTATTCGTAATTTAACCATTTTTTTTATAATTGGTACATACGAGGAGTGGTTGGTATATATCTGAACTCGGGGCCTAGTTCTTTTGTTCATCTTCGTTGAGAATAATTTGTTGCAACGAATAAGGAAAGATATGTACTTCTTTCGCTTTTCCAAAGAAAACCACCCGTGGAGAAGAATTGATAAAGTATAATGTTTATACAACCACAATTTCAACAACAATAAAATTCTAAATTACGTTTTTACTTTGGTAAAAAAAAACCGATTTTAGCTTATATTAAATCTATTTTGGATTCCTTTTTTGATGAAGATAATATACAGTAAAAGCTATTTATTCGTGCTTCCCTCATTCGCGTTTTCACTATTCGCGGCCTCATCTGATTACGCTGACATAGCCCTCTATGTTACCAGTAGCAAAAAAATAAAACAATTCGCGGATTATAAAAATGCGACCCAATTCCTATATTATAGTTCTATAAGCCCTTCATTCGTTTCGCTATGTATTTATCTGCTCACATTCCTATTGTTTCAAAAACGGAGAACCACTCGACCTACATGAGTAGGTTTGCTATCAGGGAATTATTCCGTACGTCGACAAGGCTTATAAATCAACGGAACACTCGAGAGTAGTAGACACTGACAGTCGAATGACATTTCAACATGGCGACCGCAGTTCGTATTTTTGCCACTTCACAGATAAGTTGGTGGCACTTGTAATAAGAGAAAACCTTTACTGAATATAAGGTTTTAATAAGCTAAAATTAACAGTAAAATTTGTTTTAGCTACATTTGATACATTGACAAATAACTAATAAAACAGATTGACAATGACGTCAACTTATGACTGATAGTTTCAAGTAAGAAGTTTACATCAGCACTATACTTGATTTTCCGTACGCCTGTCCATAAATCTCTTGGCAACAACGAGTTTCACCTCTTTAGCATTGTTTAAGGTAAAAAGTTTTATGAATTCGTTAATCATTACACGTCAAATATTAATGTCATTTTGCAAAGAGCGTATTTTAGTTTATACCAGTTAATATGTTTATACACTTAATATGTTACGTTTAGATTTATATTTGTACTAATAAGTTGCGGAATTTCGGTACATCAACAATTGGAATTAGTCGATAGAATTTAGAACATGACCGTTTTGGACCAGCTACCGGATGTTGATTCGTTTTTTGGAGTTGATTTAAAAACGGGTTCGATGGTTGTGGCTTCCATTGGTATAGTAAGTGGCTTTGTGTGAACAAATAGTATAGAGTATAGTGTAGGTACTGCTTGTGTATGTAAATTAACACACAATTACATGTGTGTAGACAAGTGTAATGCGATCACACGAAATAAACAGTGTGCACGTAAGGTGGTTCATTTACAGATGCTTTGGTTTATATCTGTAGTGGTATCATTCAATAGAAGATTTATTTGATGGAAGCCTGAATCGCGCTAACGGTATTTTCTGGATCAAGGGATCAAGGGATGAAATGCTATTTGGCTTAAGCGACATTTCGCAAATTTACAGAAAAGCCATTTAAAGTTTAGAATTTAGAAAAAAACATTTCGTGTGTGTTATATAACGTATTATGTAACGCCTTTTTTGTAATGTGTACCTATACCTAAATGTTATACTACCGCATGATCACTATGGCAACTTTATAGTCGGCATTAATATAATTGATGACGTGGTGATTCTGATAGCTTCCATTAAGTGCTCGACACCTGGTATGCCATCAGTCGATAGATAGAAGATTTAAAAAAATATAATGTCGAGTTAGGTTTATAGGTTTATCTATTAATCTATATACATATATAAAAATGAATTGCTGTTCGTTAGTCTCGCAAAAACTCGAGAACGGCTGGAACGATTTGGCTAATTTTGGTCTTGAATTATTTGTGGAAATCCAGAGAAGGTTTAGAAGTTAGTTAAATATGAAAATGCTTGGAATGAAATAAAAATAACAATTTTTTCCTTTGATGTGTTCCCCGTCGGACGGATTCCTTTCGTTTGTTTTAAGTTTATTTTATAGAAAAGTTTAGGTCCTTTATTTATTGATTGAGGCACTACGAAGTCTGCCGGGTCAGCTAGTAGAAAATAAAAATTGGTGTCACGAATCGGTTTGTTTGGTCTGTTCGAAAATTACGTACCTATCTTTAAGCTGTTTCCAGATTACGCTATACTATAGTGCCTTATAGTATATAATAGCAGCCTATACTTAGCCAATAATATATAGTACAGTAGGTACAGTGAGAACGTGTCCATAACAATGTATGGTGTGCGATATTGTTGTGCTATGAGCTATATACTATATGCTATTATATCATAGCGTAGTCTGAAAGCGGTTTTAGTGCCCATAGTACGAGCTCCGATGCAAAATAGTTCGTCTAGTGTGAAATTTTCTGTGAGATTTTTCTAACTTCATTATTTTTATATATCCATATAAAATATTAAGCTGTTCTACTATCGCATGTCGCGTTACTTTCGCCATTTTTTAATTATGAACCAATAAACTATTTTAGCTTTTGAAATTTATAAATATTCTGTTTTAAATTCGAATAAGTTATAGGCAAAATAGTTCGTCTAATTGTTAATCGATGCAAAATAGTTCATCTATCGGTGAGTTAAATAAGAATTATTCCTTTGATATTCCTCATATAGACTTTGATACCAATATTTACTTTCTCTCATTTACGCTTTGCACTACTTTTCATACTAGACGAACTAGAGAGAATTGGGGCTCGTTGAGGGAATCCTAGTTCGGAACCAGACATCTGCGTAATTCATTTTCCAACTATTTATTTTGATTTAACTATGAAACGTCTTGGCTAAATATCAAAATACAACGGTTACGTCTTCAATAATTACTTATTAGCATGTCACAAAGTGAAATTTACATGTTAATATGTGTGATGCGTGTCTTGAACCGTAATCGCGATGCTAATTCAAAAGACACGAAGCGCGTGCCAGTCAACTATTAACGAACGTATTGTTATACTTGTTTCCCTTAATATACCTATTATATACGTTCTTATTAGCAGCTTAAGCCGGTTTGAATATGTGAGACGAATTGCTCTGCGACAATATCGCATATTAACAACCGGAAAAGGACTATAGTCGTTTAAAATTACGATAACTTATTTCAGATTCACCCAACGTCATTCGGATGTACGTTCTTCTTACCCCTGAGCTATCTACTGGTCACAATATGGATAATGGTTGCATTGTTTTTTGCTGCAAGCGTCGTTTTGTTTTGTGGTGTTTATAAGGTTTTCTTGTTTTTTTTTTCTTATTGCTTAGATGGGTGACTGAGCTCACAGCCCACCTGGTGTTAAGTGGTTACTGGAGCCCATAGACATCTACAACGTAAATGCGCCACCCACCTTGAGATATAAGTTCTAAGGTCTCAGTATAGTTACAACGGCTGCCCCGCCCTTCAAACCGAAACGCATTACTGCTTCACGGCAGAAATAGGCGGGGTGGTGGTTCCTACCCGTGTGGACTCACAAGGGATCCTACCACCAGTATCATAATATTTATGCCATATCATAATCATCATGTGAGTCATTTTGAAATTTAACTTTTAAGTGAACTCTTCTGTAGCACCAAAAATTAGTGAGAGTAGAAAAAATAATACAAAGTATTTAATCTGTGAGAGAATGAGAATATTTATGAAGGTTTCACTTCTATAGCTCATTGGTCACATGTTTTTGTTATTATCCTCAACCGGAGCTCGGGCTATGAGCTCTTCGTTTTTTTAATGATTGAAGGATCACTGGTGGCCCGGAGGCCTTTCCCATTTCACCAGGACAGGTAGGCGAGCAAAGGCTCAGCCAGAAGGGGTGGACTTTGCAAACAGCTGTCCGAGCGCCTCCGAAGGAGACCTAACAACTTAAGAGCAACTGCTTCGCGAATGAATCTACTACCGGATCGCAATCGCGACCCGCTGGATATTCAAGAACTTATCAGCCCGACTTTTAAAAAAACTACCTACACAAAGCGCCAGCTTATTGCATGGGCCGTGGCAGGTCGTTCACACTAAAAAAAAAAGTTTGAGACGTTAGCGACTCTAAAGCTTTCGTCTCATATATTATAATGTCAATATTGGCAGCGCGGAGTTGTTTTTCCATTACGAAATTCTTTCTAAAGTTGGTATGTTCAAGGATGACAGTTTTCTCTGCGCTATTTGGATATGGTATGCGGTGGTGTTCGCGGTAGTAATGCTGATCATGATGGTGCTATTAGCCCTAGTCTTCACGTCCAGAAAGCAAAGGACTCGGGTGCTCGTCGCTATAACTGGAATGCTTTGGTACATTTGTAAGTAACATGATTCATCTATGTTTATTGCTCTAATATTTCACCGTAAGCCGTCAATTACTGAGCTTAGAACTCATGTCTTCCAGCTATTAGCTTATTTCGAACGAAACACTACGTTTGTTTTCATAATGTATAATATATGTTTAAATACTAGCTGACCCGGCAGACTTCGTAGTGCCTCAATCGACACATCAAGGGGACACATCAAAGGAAAACAAAATTGTTTGTTTTTATATAATTCCGAGCTTTTTTATATTTTATGACGTTTTAAACCTTCCCTGGATTCACGAATAATTCAAGACCAAAATTAGCCAAATCGGTCTAGCCGTTCTCGAGTTTTAGCGAGACTAACGAACAGCAATTAATTTTTATATATAGAGATATAGATATAGAATATAGATTCATTTCAGTTTGGATAAGATAATGTTTCTATCTAGTTTATGGTTCATTTTGGAAACTTATAAGCGATCTGGCCTTATGGTATAAATAACTTTTGCTCTATTTATTAAATCCTAATTGGTCCTAAATGGCCCCAGTTAAGCCTCCTCAATCCTCTCCGCATTATGTGCATTTAGCGTAAAGCGATTGTGCCCAAAATCTCTTTGATAAGATCCACATGAAGTTTCCTCAAAGACTAATCCAATTTAAAAGTTTGCATTTTTGAGATTAGAGCTTCTAGTATTTTCTTCATTTTTTTGCGAGACGTATGTATGCATAATTAAAGCCACTGTGACTGTCATCCGTGACCACGGAAACTAAGTATTCGAAATGTTGGAAATAATGTAATGACAATGAAAACTCGCGTTACAAATTGAATCATACTTGTTACAATAAACTCCACTAAGGATTATAAAAGAGTTACCTTTTTAAAAAAAGTTTGATTTAATTTTTAACACTGGGAAAATTGTAAAAATCTAATCTACATGTAAGTAAGGAAGTATCTACAAGAATAACGTGTCTTCAAACATATTTGTAGTTCTTATGTTTCTAACCCGACTAACTACGAGTATAATTGAATATGCAATTTCGAAAAGGGCACATCTCTGAAAATGTAAAATCTTCAGGAAATGAAAAAAAACTGATTATTTTCTAAAGCAGTGTAAATTTTAAAATATTAACTTTTGAGATATATTTTAGTGTCAATTAGCAATTGAAAATTATTGGAATTATTATAAAATGGGTGTAGGTAAGCCTCAAAACTACATGTATATGAAAAAACGTATTTGACAAAATATGCGACATGTGCCCTTTTCGAAATTGCATATTCAATTAAAGCCCAAAGTAATAATATATTTCCGTTTAAAGGTTAAGATAGTTACGGCTAGTTGAATTACTTTGGAACTAAATGCAAGGGCGGCAAAATAAAGAAACAAATTCATGAACTGGGTCTGCGGAGGGACTTCGGTTCCCTCTGTATTATGTACCGCATGTTCCATGGGGAGTGTTCTGAGGAATTGTTCGAGATGATACCAACGTCTCGTTTTTACCATCGCACCGCCCGCCACCGGAGTAGAGTTCATCCATACTACCTGGAGCCACTGCGGTCATCCACAGTGCGTTTCTAGAGATCTTTTTTGCCACGTACCATCCGGCTATGGAATGAGCTCCCCTCCACGGTGTTTCCCGAGCGCTATCACATGTCCTTCTTCAAACGAGGTTTGTGGAGAGTATTAAGCGGTAGGCAGCGGCTTGGCTCTGCCCCTGGCATTGCTGAAGTCCATGGGCGACGTTAACCACTCACCATCAGGTGGGCCGTATGCTCGTCGGCCTACAAAGGCAATAAAAAAAAAAAAAAAAAAAAAAATGTGTGCGTGTACTAGTGTACACACGTAAGAAGTGAAACTTGTTTATGGCCTTATTTTTCGAAAAATGATCTACATGCAACTTTCTAGAAATTGGTTAAATAAAGTTAAATTAGATAAAGTTTAAACAAAAGGATTTTATTATCATAGACATGAATACAAATAATACAATTATTTCACTTTACCTTTTTGCTACTAAGATTATTACAGCATTTTAATAATACATCTCTTTGATATCATAATACCCTGGTACTTTTCTTCCTATNCCTTTTCGAAATTGCATATTCAATTAAAGCCCGAAGTAATAATAGATTTCCGTTTAAAGGTTAAGATAGCTACGGCTAGTTGAATTACTTTGGAACTAAATGCAAGGGCGGCAAAATAAAGAAACAAATTCATGAACTGGGTCTGCGGAGGGACTTCGGTTCCCTCTGTATTATGTACCGCATGTTCCATGGGGAGTGCTCTGAGGAATTGTTCGAGATGATACCAACGTCTCGTTTTTACCATCGCACCGCCCACCACCGGAGTAGAGTTCATCCATACTACCTGGAGCCACTGCGGTCATCCACAGTGCGTTTCCAGAGATCTTTTTTGCCACGTACCATCCGGCTATGGAATGAGCTCCCCTCCACGGTGTTTCCCGAGCGCTATCACATGTCCTTCTTCAAACGAGGCTTGTGGAGAGTATTAAGCGGTAGGCAGCGGCTTGGCTCTGCCCCTGGCATTGCTGAAGTCCATGGGCGACGGTAACCACTCACCATTAGGTGGGCCGTATGCTCGTCTGCCTACAAAGGCAATAAAAAAAAAAAAAACTCTAGTTTCTAAGAAACTTATAATATGGAATACATTTGAATTTATTTTTTCAGTAACTATATACTTCGTTTTGGTAGTGAACAGCCATCGAAAACGACTTCAAAAATCAATTTAAATTATAGCGGGTAGTTTACAAATATTTTTATTGTAGTTTAATTAAATGATTCAGATCGTTTCCGTTTCGTGTCTTTGTGTTTTCTTGTCACGTATTACTTCCAGTCTGTACCCGTGGACGACTAGTATCCCGTAAAATGGTATCACTGAAACCATAAATTGAAACATTGAGCGCTGACAAAATTCTACAAAGTAATGGATCGGCTGTTGGAAGTGTGCTGCGCGGTCCTATAATACTGATAAAATATACTTTCACCGACGTGAAAAAAACTGTAATGTCGCCGCGTTTTCACCAGCCTTAAACTTGCATTTCATATTTAAAATATGGCTGTGAAAAGTGAAGTATTGTAACTTTTAGGACAGTTGAATGAGAGTTTTTTAACAACGTAATATTCTAGCGTTAATGTCGCCGATCCATCCATCTATCGATGTAGACGGTTGTTGAGATCGAAATTTCTATTACATTCCACTAAACGCTACATTCTTGTGAAGACCAGCGCACGAACTCACAGCTCAGCTGGTGTTAAGTGGTCACTGGTGGTCATTTGCATCAAAGGTCGAAGATTAAATTGTATTATATGATTTTTTTTAAATTTTTTTTATTGCTTATATGGGTGGACGAGCTCACAACCCATCTGGTGTTGAGTGGTTACTGGAGCCCATGGACATCTACAACGTAAATTACCACCCACCTTGAGATATAAGTTCTAAGGTCTCAGTATAGTTACAACGGCTACCCCACCCTTCAAGCCGAAACGCATTACTGCTTCACGGCAGAAATAGGCGGGGTAGTGGTACCTACCCGTGCGGACTCATAAGAGGTCCTACCACCAGTGATTACGTAAATTATAATAATGAAGGCTATACCACCGTTCAAACTGGAGCGCATGACTTCTTCGCAGCAGAAATAGGCGCATGGTGGTAGCTACCCGTGCGGGCTCACAATACTACCACCAATAGCAGCAACAGAACAGACAGCTAGCATATTCAAATTGACTTTTGTTTCGTTAAACATACTAGTTGACGGCCTTGCTTTGATCGCTAGATTGCGGAAGGGTGAAAGGTGATCTTTAGCAATCATGGCTCACCAGGTGGGCCTAGCGTTTACCTGACCGCTTTATCTTAGTATTTTCGGAAAAAATCTCACACAAAAACTGTTGTTTATTTTTGAAGTGAAAACTTCTGTAGCATAATTGTGATTTTAAATTCGATGAAACGAAAAAGCGACAGTAAAAAGAGACAGACACATTAATTCATAAGATGTAAGGTGGGAGAAAATGAGATGGAAAGCATTATATAGTCTTTCTTATATTTGTGATTCTCTTTGTGCTTTGCTTTTTACGTAGTATTCGTACTTAATACCTGAATAAATATATGTAATATATACGAATAAAATGTAAAATAATTATCAAACTTTGTATCACTATGATCTTTACTAAAACTTTCCTCTTCCCGAAATTTTACGTTCGTCTCATTATCTTGAAGCCAAAATTTGAAGGTTTCACTTCTACCACGTGTGAATTGAACACATGTTTTTAATTTTTTTGTATTCTCTTCCCTGACGTATTCTACATTTGATAGGGGTTCAAGCCTCTTCCAAGACGTTACATAAAGGAAAATATCCTTAATGTTGTGAAAGAAAAACGTGTCTAGACACTAGTGATTTATAACCCTTCAAGAAGTTACAGTTTTCTTTATTTATGGGTACATATGTAATCTATGATCTTTTTTTGATACATTTTCCGTGATACAGGTGTAGCGGGCAGCTATCACAGAACACCAAATATTTAACGGGTGTCTGAATCTCGCTAACATTAACTCGAATACATTAAATCAATAAAAAAACATTACACACACTACCATGTATTTGACACACACACACAGACATATATACTTTTTGTTTATTGTCAAACTTTTGTTATTGCTTAAATTCTGTGGTCAAATTGAAAACAGGATAATGGTAGGATTATGATATCTTTAATATCATTTGTCTATAGCGTAGTCTTGGCGAAATCTGTGATTATAGAAGCTTAATAGTCTTTGACAATAGAACCTTAATGATGCTCAAACTTATAATTTCAATTCATTATAGTCGAATTTTGACTACTACGTGACCATTAGTTATTATGCAAGTGCCGAACAACAAAATTCGGACCGTTGGTATACTGAGCAAACTTAAGTCGCTCGATAGAAGATCTTCCGCGTTTTGCGTTACCCCCCAAACAGGTATAGGATGCCCGATTATTTTAAGCCCAGCTATAAGAGGTGCCGCATTCTATTGTTAAATCCCGTGATATTTAGATAGCATTAAGCTGTCAACATGCAATACTGACTTTGTCGTGTCTACAAAATGATATCAAAACAATTACACAACTTCAAACATGGCGTTCTATTTTCGAATGAAATAATTCGTCTTAACTTTTAAATCGACGATATTCGGTTTTTCGGCACTATGTTGTTTAATAATTTTTAGAAATATTTAGATCAAGCGGTTGAGATCTTACCTAGAACTACCGCAGCGACTATTAGCCACGCCAAAGCAGCACCGTCGTTGACATTCAAACAGATCTGTACGAGAAGCAGACAGCAAACTTGGGCCAGCCACATGGCCGTCAATACCGTCCAGCCTAGGAACACTGAGGCTTTCTCCTGAACAACAAAATAGCTTTTATCGCCTCTTTGCCGGTCATCGACCTCGTCGAACCCGTCGCTTGCGACGAAGGGCTCGACGAGCGAATTAACCCATAGACATAGCCCACTGAGTTTCTCGCCAGATCTTCTCAGTGGGTCGCGTTTCCGATCCGGTGGTAGATTCTGCGAAGCACTGCTCTTGCTAGGGTCAGTGTTAGCAACATTCCGATTTGAGCCCCGTGAGCTCACCTACACTAGTTAGGGTGAAGCTGAAATAGCCTCTCAACGCTATCAGCATAGGTAGGAAAAAAAAGCCTCTTTGTTATATTCGTTAGTTATCCAGACTAAAACAGAATCCCGAGTATGCCTTTCTCGATGTGTAGTCTCCTAGGATGAAATAGAGAGAGAGGTCTTCGGTCCCCTCATGCCCATCGCGTTAAAAAAAAAGAAAAAGAAAAGAGGGCATTCTTCCTGGTCGAAATCTTTATGACCTATCTTTAGAGATCTGGTTCTAGAATATTCGTTTAATCTTATGTGTGCTGCCAACACAAAACATTGTTTTAATATACCCCCCTACTAATAATTTTGGTAGCCGCTATTTCTCGAAGTTGGTAGAATTTCAAAACTATCATATCAATTATGGAGTCTTGAGTTCACATCGCATAAGTTATCGAAAATTGTTTTCGTCTAGCCTAGCTAACTTTGCCATAACACTATTATATAATTATTGTGAAGGAGTGTTGATAGGACGAATTATCGATCATACTAAGTAATTTTAAACAGGACGAGTTAGTCGTAATATTACACAATTGATAGTTCGACCGCATGTCTTAAATATGAGTGGCGACGTTCACTTAATATCATGTGGGTCGTGAGCACGTACTGCGTGTCGTGTAAGACAATGCGTCTAACTAAACTATAAGTACTATACTAAGCATTTTTTTAGTATTGTTATCTAAGTATTGTATGTGTAACAGCCGATACTAATTCTTAATCCAATAGTTTTGCGGTAGAAATATAATATGATGGTATTCACAGCTCGAAAGCGTAGCGGTCTAAATGATAAGTCGCCCATTGTATAATTCATATCGAGGGAATGCGATAGCAATATTAAAATCCCGTGCGCTGATATGAATTTTTGTAATGAAGCACGTACTTAATTCATATTCACGATTGATTTCCAAGGAGAAGGAATAACATCCTGCAGTAAAAAAAATCAAACTTCCCAATTGAATAGATCTAATATTTTAAGAAAACGACCGACGGTAGGCAGCGGCTGAGCCAAGCCCCTGGCATTTTTGACGGCCACAAGCGACAGTAACCAATCACCATCACGTGGGCCGTATCCTCGTCTACCTATAAGGGCAATAACAAAAACCAAACTATTTAACACTATGTGATCCGAGAAGTCGTAAAAGCGGCCACGCAATAAAAAGCACGTGTGACCTAAAATCTTTAAAGAAGCGACAAAAAAGGAAAATTTTAACCGATTTTTTTCACGTTATCTTCACGAATATGTGTGGCGTCAGACGTTACCTACTTTAGTTGGTGTAACAAATTGTTACCTTTTTAACGCCCCATATCAGCCACAAATGGACACACAACATGAACAAACAGTACACTCCTGCGGTGATCCTGTAGCTTGTGACGGTCTTCGAGCACTCCGTGTTCTTGAGCAAGTTCACCGTATCCACGATCATGGTTATTGTGCAAATCACCATTGCACTCTGTAAGAGTGAAATTCAAATTAATCTTTATTATCTTAATATACAGGGTGTCCCGGAAAGAATGGATAATTCTGAAACACCTCATAGTAGAGCTATTGGGGATTCAAAATAAAAAAATACTTAGGTAGTAGTTTAGGTAGTTTGTACAAGACTTCTGTCGGGACTGCTAGTGCTTAAATAAAATGGTCAGAACGCTATAAACGATTTTGTAATTCATTTTTATTAAACGATGCTTTTCCTTTCAAGTGGTCATCACAGGATCGTCATTATGTTTGTATTTTGAAATGAATCCCTTAATAACAAAGAAACGTTTCACATTATTTTATGAACTTTATTCAAGGCAACGTTATCTAATATTTGCCGGTTCGCTCTATTCAATAATCGGCACGTGCTACCAAGCTGTGCTGATGTTCCGGATTAGCTGCGTCGGCAACATGGCATTTTCGAATAATAGCCTCGTCGAAATCCGCATCCACAAGTCGAGGTGCAATTTACCAAGTTTCATGACGATAGGGCTGGTTTTTCGTACAAAATTAACCAAGATTGGGAGAATACAATCAAAAACGTTGCTGAGTTCTTTGGAGTCGAGAGGCTTTGGGCGTAATTGGAAAGAGAAGATATTCCTTCGAACAGGTGAGATTTTTTGGTAGACCGACGGGTCAATTGTTAATTTACGGAACATATAACATGAAAGATTATTTTGAAAGCGCTGTTAGCGTGATTCAGGCATTTGTCACATATCTTGTGAACTATAATGGTTATTACCAAAAAGCAGATAGGGCTCGGTAGGCAGCGGCTTGGCTCTGCCCCTGGCATTGCTGAAGTCCATGGGCGACGGTAACCACTCACCGTCAGGTGGGCTGTGTGGCTCGTCTGCCCACAAGAGCAATAAAAAAAGCATAGTCCTGATAGTAAGTGGTTTTCCCTGATAGTAGTTGGATGGGTTGAGCCAATAAATACCACTTAGGTCTCTTTAAAATCAATACTTAAAGCGTTCATTTGAATGTAGATATCGCTGTAACTTAACTGCCTGTGGCTGCTGCTATTAAACAGTAACAGTCTCTCAGAATGAGGCAGAATGATGATACCTGTGCGGGATAACAATTGTGCGTATCTCCGGTAAAAAGGATCTGGCTATCGTACTAGTCTGGTGTTATACTCGAAAAATTTTACTATGCATTCTCCTTAGTCGCTTTTTATGATACTACCATATAATGTATATGTATTTGCAGTATTCATAGTCGATTTCTGTATATGTCTATATCTATACTAATATAATATTATAAAGAGGAAAGATTTGTTTGTTTGTTTGTTTCGAATAGACTCCGAAACTACTGGACTGATTTGAAAAATTCTTTTTCCATTAGAAGTCGACATTGTCCCTGATGAACATAGGCTACTTTTTTAATTTTTTTTTTTTTGGTTTCATGTGTGTTTTAATGTTTCCGAAGCGAAGCGAGGGCGGGTCGCTAGTATGTATATACGATTAGACTGATTTCGATGAAAATCTGAGATAATCTTTTGATTGGTCTAACGATTAACCCCTTGAAGTGTGACCGGTCGGATCAAAACAGAACGGGCCGGGGCTAGTTTTTTTTTTAAAATAGTATGTGTACTAGATATAACCTATATATTTTCTATACATGTATATTTTATTTCCAACATTACTAATAATACCCACTGAGTTTCTCGCCGGATCTTCGATTCGCAATTACGGTCTGGTACGATAGATTCTGTGAAGCACTGCTCTTGCTAGGTCTAGTGTTAGCAAATTACTTTAGGTTGAGCCCGTGAGCTCACCTACTCTTTCGCGCACATTCGAATAGTTCTTTAGGCTCTTAGCGAATAGGTAGGAAAAAAATTAATACTAGTGTAAATCTTTTGTTTGGGGAGGGTCAACTAAAAAAAACTGTTTTATTTCACACCATTCCAAGAAAAGTGTACAATCAAATTTAGAACGAGTGTCACTATTGTGTTAGTGTTACTAGTAGTGTCAGTAGTAATATTGGAAATAACAGTGTAGGAAGTGGGCACACAAAAATTATACGAATGTGTAATTATAATGCAATACGAAATATGTTCATAAATCGGCTTACGTCACTTGCTCGTCTACTTCTCTCTTTTTGATTTGAGTCTATCTGTCCATCTGTTTGTGAAAATATTGCTTAGCTAATTTAATTTATGTATTGCTCAGGATATTTCAGGATGTGGGACGGAAGATGATTAAAAATATACGCGAGGTTTTTCTCTTCGAGGTTTTCAAAATATATCATTTGGACATGGAGAATGAGATTATTTTATTTATATTGTATTCAGATCACGTCAAGAATAGATATTTCGAAAAATATATTAGTTCACATTCATGTATAATATTAACAAAATAATTTTATAAAAATAATTTGGCCATGTCACGTTGATATGTACATGTGGTTGTACATTGTGGTGCCCAATGTCTATAAATAATAATTACTTTTATCACGTAATTCCGCCCGCACGAGTAGGGTTTCACTGTTTTGCTCTTTTCTGCTGCGAATCAGTCACATCTTCCATCCGTTTTACTGTTGGTAGGACCTCTTGTGAATCCGCACGGGTAGGTACCACCACCCTGCCTATTTCTGTCGTGAACTAGTAACGCGTTTCGGTGCGAAGGGTGGGGCAGTCGTTGTAACCACACTGAGACCTTTGAACTTATATCTCAAGGTGGGTGGCCATTTACATTGTAGATGTCTATGGGCTCCAGTAACCACTTAACACCAAGTGGGCTGTGGGCTCGTCCATTCATCTAAGCAATAAAAAAATAAAAAAACATTATTGAGGCATATTATTTATTAAGGTGGATAGCGAGATTCGGATAAGGCTGTTNGGGCAGTCGTTGTAACCACACTGAGACCTTTGAACTTATATCTCAAGGTGGGTGGCCATTTACATTGTAGATGTCTATGGGCTCCAGTAACCACTTAACACCAAGTGGGCTGTGGGCTCGTCCATTCATCTAAGCAATAAAAAAATAAAAAAACATTATTGAGGCATATTATTTATTAAGGTGGATAGCGAGATTCGGATAAGGCTGTTTTGTTTGTCATTATGAAATTTTCAGAATGACACTTAGATCTATACTAGCTGTACCCGTCCGCTTCGCTGGGCATTTAAAATTAACATTATTATTTCTCACCCCCACAAAGATTCTCATCATTAACGTCCCCGCAACTAGTGTAGGGGAGTCCAACACTCATATAAATATTAGCCTATCCATTAAATATATATATTTTCTACATGGATACCAAGTTTCAAGTCAGTTGGATGCATAATTCAGTAGTTATAACGGAACATCCGTAAAAACCACTGTCGATTTGTATATTAGTATAGATATTGACATATAGATTTGTAAACATGAAACCAAGTAAGGGTAGGAGCAAGAAGATGACACAAAATCTTTATAAAAATCATAATTACCATGAACTCTTTTAAGTTTAAAATATATCGATCTTGAAATGAAAATTCTGATAACGTTATTTTAATGTTATCCACGAATTATGATTAAGAAACTTGTTTATCGACAATATGTTTGATCAGGCAAACTCAAAGTTTGCTAGCAACCAAACTGTGCCAAAGCGCCTCTAGATATTTTAAGAGTAAATTTTGTTAGTCTGTCTGGAATTTCACGATTATGTAACAATGTTATCGAGAATTAATCTTATCTTTTAAATCTCTTATAGAAGCAGCTACCGAATAAAAATGTAATCAGTTTGGAAGAAGATACTGTTGACACAAAAGATTCTGAGGGTCAAAAGTATTAAGCTCAGCCCTTAAAATCTAAGGACTCTAACGTCCTGAGCCCACACGTATTCCCATTATCTTTTCAGCCGCCATACCCTTGACACACAACAGTGAAACATTAATTCTGTGGAACAAAAACTGAACTGCTCTTTAATTTTATAAGTATTTATAAGTTTGTCGACTTGAATAGAGAGAATTGTTGTTATACCATACAATTGAGATTCCAATCTCTTTTATTTATCCGGTGGCACGGTGTTTAGAAGCTTGATTTGTGTTTGTATGGACCTACATATCTACTGATTTATTTATTTAAACGTATTTAAGTATGTGTATCAGTATCTAGTTCCCATAGCACGAGGAATTTTAATATGGTTTCGGGTGACTGAATGAATTGTATCCGATTTTCTATCATATTTATTATTCCTGAAGGATGGTACAGCTGTATTCATGCTGTGACATTAATGGGCTTTCATGAAAAGTTTGGAAAAAAGCAAATATTTATTGCTGAGATGGTTGGATGAGCTCACAGCTCACCTAGTGTTAATTGGTTACTGGAGCCCATATACATCTACAACGTAATGCGCCACCCACCTTGAGATATAAGTTCTAAGGTCTCAGTATAGTTACAACGGCTGCCCTACCCTTCAAACCGAAACGCATTACTGCTTCACGGCAGAAATAGGCAGGGTGGTGGTACCTACCCGCGCGGATTCACAAGAGGTCCTACCACCAGTAAAAAAATTCATAAATNTAATTGGTTACTGGAGCCCATATACATCTACAACGTAATGCGCCACCCACCTTGAGATATAAGTTCTAAGGTCTCAGTATAGTTACAACGGCTGCCCTACCCTTCAAACCGAAACGCATTACTGCTTCACGGCAGAAATAGGCAGGGTGGTGGTACCTACCCGCGCGGATTCACAAGAGGTCCTACCACCAGTAAAAAAATTCATAAATTGGTGGAATACTCACTGTCAATAATATGCCATAAAATAATGAACCGGTTCTTAGTTCGAAACGGCATAAAAATTTATTTGGTGCGATACGATCTAACCACATTTTGTTTGGATTATTAAAGTTAAAATTTTCGATAAAAATACAATAAATACTTTGAATTCTTGACCTACTAGATAGATGCTTTGATAGTGACTAGTTTAATTTAAACTCTTTACGATAACTTTTTTTTACATTCAGGATGAGCATTGTCAAAAGAATTTAAAATCAAAATAGTTAAAATGAAGTACGAGAAACAGACTTAGCTTTATGGGCCATTAGTGGCAGTTTGAATGCCGATCCATATATCATGATATGACCACAATATGTACCCAATCTATTGTGATATTTACACATGGGTTCAATGAAATACAAAACCCAATGCTATCAGAACTTCGATCTCATGTTTTGCGACTGGCACTATATACTATTATTGCTTATTGTTTAAAATCGAACTCACAGCTCACCCAGTGCTAAATGATTACTGCCCTACTATCAGGACGTATTCTTCTGCATTGAAAAAGTAGATGGTATATAGGACATACAAACAGACAAAGTGAGTCATACAGTTAAAGCGCGTCCCAAATAGCAGTCACTTTCATTTGGCTCCATAAAGAAGAGGGCCGTTCGGGTTGTTGATGGCCCCATTCTCATGGATGAATTGAAACCTCTGGGTTTACGGAAGGATCATAGGGATTATGGTTCCCTCTGTATTTTGGACCGTATAAGTAATTGTTTGAGATGATCACATTATCTCGTTTTTACTATCGCACCACCCGCCACCAGAGCAGAGTTCTTATTACTACCAAGAACCACTGCGTTCATCCATAGTGCATTTTCGGAGATCTTTTTTGCCGCGTACGGCCGCGTAGGGTTTTGTATTTGGCTTCGAAATGAACTTCGTTCCTCGGCGTTTCCTGAATTCTAAGACATGTAATTCTTCAAACTAGTTTTGTGGAGAGTACTCAATGTTAGGCAACGGCTTGGCTGGACTCGTAGCATTGCTGACGTCCACAAGTGACTGTAACCACTCATCATGAGTTGGGCCAGGCCATATGCTCGTCTACTTACAAGGGTAATAAAAAAGTCTCTGCGAGCACGTCCTACGCAGTAACGGAGGCGTATTCTAATGCTGGATTCTTCAAATACTTATTTTGAGCGTGGGAAAATAATACACATGTTATAAAAAGTATCACCCGAAGCTCAAAGGATCAAAAGTTGTGCACAAACTATTGAATGTAATCTCGAGTTCTATCTCAGCAGATTTATAAGTTGTTGTACATCTTCAGTTTATTTCTCAATGTAGCTAAGCTAAGAAAAAACCTCGGTGTAAGTTTACTACAGAAAATAAGAGACTAAAGTGAACTCTATGCAGTAGGTTATATCGTAAGAATTTAATCTCGTTTAGACCCAGAGGTTCATGTTAAAGAACTCTTGCTTGATTAATTTACTTCTTAACTTGAATTTAACTTTTGCGTGTCGACTTTTTGAAATTCCAACAAGAAGTAAGTAGTTCGAATTACACGAGAAAAGTTTGGTAAGCCTTGTTTGAACAATGAAACCAAATTATTTCACAAAGGATGGAGCTTATGAATATGATCATGATTCACCCACTCTTTTGATTCTTACTCTAGCTCCTTCTCTTCAGATGGGAGGAAGAAAAATTGTATGTCATCGCATCTACGTACTTCCTAACAGCTTCTCTGATGGTGTTCAATAGTGTTGATCTATTGATTCTAAGCTACCTAAATCGCGAATTCATGCTTTAATCGTAACTAATTTTAATTGAGTTTAACTAGTACTATAAGATCTTAAAGTAAATACCTATCTAAGTAAACGACCTTAGGAACGAACGTTCAGTTTCTTTAACGGAGCTGGAAATTACGAATCTGGCACACAATTGCGTAAATGTTGATCTGTGGTTGTATGTCCCCTGACGCATCTTTACGGCAGCCCGGTTTAGATTGAATAGTAGGGGCAATTACGTGGAAGATAACAGTGTCTATGATGTCGTATTAATCCATTTATTTTTATGTCTAATTCGTAAGACACCTAATTAGATGCGATGTAGCATACCTATATTATATAATTCATGCGGATAATTATTACTTGCTTATTTCCACCACCACGCTATCATACTGTTCGGTTTAATAATTACAATTGAGTGTTATCGCCTTGTGGCAATACTGAGCTCCTTCAGAATGGATAGGTTGGTCCGGGGTGCTCCATGGAATTCGCAACATCCGTCTCCAACACCACATTACAAAAGCGACGACATTTGCCCTAACACTTCGTTTTATCGTCCAGGATTCGGCGCCATAAAGAAAAATTGAGAAGACCAATGTACGTACCAGCCTATCTTTGGTTTTGCGGGATATATTGCGGTCTTTCCATATCCTAGTGAGCTTAGTCATTGCTCTTTTGGACATTTGGCTTCTTCATTTTGACATATTGAGTTTGAATTTCTAGCTATCTCTTTCTCGCTGCCACCCTCACCACAAAGAAGAGAGCCAAGATAAACGAACCGGTCAACAAATTCCAAGTCATGAAGTTGATTAGAGCGAATAAGCATACCGGGTCTGTCCACCATCAATACCTTGGTCTTCGCCTTATTAATGGTTAAGCCAACTAATTCTCTCTCCTCCGCCACCCTAGTAAAGAGTTGGGCTAGTTCTTGCTCGGATGATGCGAGCAGTGTGGTGCCAATTGCATAACGGAGATTGCTGATTTTCCTGCCGCCAATGGACACTCCACCCTCCCAGCCATCTAAGGCTCGTCTCATAATGTATTCCCCGTAAATGTTGAAGAGAATCGGAGACAATATACAAAAGGCCTAACGCCTTTTTGAGGCTTAAAGGGCCTTGACAGGACGTTGTTCACCTTCACTACTGTGCTTCCGTCCTGGTACAGGTTTGCGATGAGAACGATGAGGTGCTGTGGTACCCCCATTTCTGTTAGAATATTCGATAGGCATTCCTATTTAACACAATCGAACGCCTTTGAATAGTCAACGAAGCACATCAATATCGGAATGTTGAACTCACGGCATTTCTCAATAATCTGCCTGACATTCACGATCTGTTCCCTTGTACCTCGTCCCTTAAGAAAACCCGCTTGCTCTACTGGTATCTGCTATTGCAAGAATGCTTTAAGCCGCTCGTTTATCACGTACAGAGCATCTAGTCGGCATTTAATTAATCCCTCGACAAACTTGTGGGAAAAATTCTAGCAGCTCATTACTTTGGCCAGTTCTTAAAAAAAAAAATTTTAGAAATATAACCATTGGTCATAATTTCTAAACTTTACGTATGCTAACTACACATAAAATAACCGACCTTAAGCACAAACAAAGAAAATTGGTGGACAAACAGAGGAGAAAAAAAAACTGTTTTTTCTTTTACCTCTTTAATTAAACATCAGTCCGATTTTCAAAATAGGATCCCTCGTCGATTTCGTCGAAGCGCTCGTGACCGGAGTGAACACGAGAAGCGTGCTAGTGAACACGTGAGAGTTTGCCATTGTTTTTTTTTCTTTCTAAAAATATATTTGGACGGACAATGAAGTGTGTTCACGTGTGCATTACATTTCACAGCCTGTCAGTCGCATTGGCTTATTACACTGTCAACGATTTTGATGTTTTATTTTGACGTTGTCGGGGAGTAACTAGGTACTCTGGTTTGAAATGCCAGGCTGCTATTGGTTTACTAGCAGTGCAGTGACTGGTTCTACTGTTACCGTCACGAAGTATTCATGCGTGCCGGTTTGAAGAGTTTATATACCATATAGACTACCACCTCATATCCCAAGGTGGGTGGTGGCAATCGTGCTGTGATGTGGGCTTGTCATCAAATGGGCCGTGAGTTATCAACCCATCTACACTAATAGACAAATTCAATTTAAGCCACTGGATGTTCTAAAGTTATCTCGAAATCAGTTTCCAAGAATTTCAGTCAAGAGTCTAGACAATGGATCTTATTGAAATGCGCAAGTGGCTTTGTGAATAGCCACGTGATAGCTTCACAGTAATAGCCTTATGTATAAACAATAGAGCACGTGTTTCATTTCTGTGTTATTTCGTTTTCTGTTATTGTTTTTCCTTAACAAAAAATATCTGGCTCATCACGTACTGCTTTGGTTGATTTTTCCGTCCATTCTTATTCGGAATCATTTCTTAGCTGTGTTTTTTTTTGTTTTGTTTATCGCGTCATTTCTTAGCTGTGTTTTTGTTTGTAATATTTATCGTGTGCCAAAAAATATTTTTCTGATAAAATAATATTGTGATAATCCGATAGCTCTTTAAATTTACACTAGCATAATTATTTATTCTTGATGATGACTCAAACCTTTCTCGGGTGTTGAGCTAAATGAATTAGTTTCTATTTTTATTTATAAATTCTAATTTAAAATTGGATAAGCTGTGAAATATTCAAACTTCTTATAAAATTATGAAAACGGCTAACCCTGAATGGGAATAAGCCCAAGAGACTTTGTTTGATTATATGAAATTCTTATTTTTTTGTTCATAATTTTTGCACACACAATTTCTTAAACATAAGATGATAACCATTCCGAAGGTAATTTATTCAGAGGATAGAAAGAACTTGAGCGATTTTTGTTTCTGCTCACAATTTTCTGCAGTTTGAATCATTTGTGTCTTTACAGGTTAAGATTAGGCATATAATAAAAATCTTGAAGTTGCGTGAAAGATTTCGCTAGTTTAATAGTAATATTTTATTCTTGCTAAGATGGGTGTCCATACTCATGGCTCAGCTGATTTTAAGTGCTCATTTGCATCGAAATGGGAACGGGAATCACCTTCCTTGAGACATGAGATTGAAGTCTCAATTGGCTATAAAAACTATTCAAACTTAAACATATGACTATTTCGCCGCAATAACAGGTAGTACGGTACCTACCCGTGCGGGCTTACAATGCGTTAACAAAATATGCCCGAAACATACACAGATAAATACATTTTGAAACATTTCGTAACACTAAGGTGTGAAGGCTCAGATACCCACCGAGTTTCTCGCTGGATCTTTTCAGTGAATCGCGATTCCGATCCG